AAAAAAAAAAAAACAAAAAAAAAAAACTAAAAACCAAACAATCCCTTAAAAAAGCTTGTGACTTGATACACCTGTCAATACCCAGGAGCATGAGGGTGGACTGAGCACAGTGAGGTCAGCAGCTCCAGAAACTGCTTTATGAGTAACAAATAGCTCTCTGCTGTATACACATGGCCGTGATTCATCACATGCAGTGAGCTGAGACTTGTTTGAGACTTGTGAGAGACACCACACAAAACCACAGAAGAATTTATGACCATAGATACCATTCTGTCCTTTGTAGCAGATGGTAGGGCAGCTTGCAGAACCCCTGCAGCCCTCTGGTCACCTTATAATTGAGTAGGAGCAGTATTTTCAAGTGTAAAGTAAGCCTTATCGAAAATCCAAAATGTCCTACCAAAAACCCAGCCTCTTTCTTAGTGATGCAATATCTTGACTTTCACTTTGGAGGAAATGTCCCAGTCCTGCCCAAGGCCAGAGGTTGGCAAACGTTTCCTGCAGACTCTGATAGTAAATGTGTCAAAGTATGTTAGGCTTTGTGGGCCATGTGGTCTCTGATGAAACTACCCATCTCTCTGTCAATATAAGCATAAGAGTAGCCACAGACAAACCATAAACAAATGGGCATGGCTGTGTACCAAGAAAACATAATTTACAAAAATAGGCCAGGCTTGACCCATGAACCATAGTTTGTTGCCCCCTGCCCTAGACTACTGGACCTTAAAAACTTCAGGGCATGGCAGAACCTTGAATGCTTCCTCTCTCCAGCACACCTGTCTTCCTAGGGCATCCAGACTACTTGCTGATTCCTTTCCACCAAGTCCAATGTCACCAGTGTAGTAGATCATGATCAGTCTCTTCAGACTACTGTAACAGACAGCACAGCCCTGGAGAAACAGGAAATGTGTCCTGATGGATGTGAGGAGGTCACGTCTTTTAACCTCCTAATTTGAAGAGAACATAGTCGACAGGGCAGGAGTTTCTCCCCAGTGTCGGAGGCTTGTTGGTCTACATGGGGAGATGCTACATTAAGCAATGAACTGTCATCTGGGCAACTACCCAGCTGTTGCAGGTTGTCTGCTATCATCTACCAAAATCCATCTGCTATTTGCTGGTACCAGACAAGCAAATTAAAAGGGCACATACTTGTCTTTTTAAAGTCTTCAAGTGTAGCCCTAACATCAGATGTAGCACATGCACTGTAACATACACATCTCTTTGTCCACTGTCTTGGATGGGGAATGCCCTTTAAGAGGTTCCTCTTGACCTTTCCTACTATTATGGCTCTTAACTTCATAAGCCCGGGACCCAGTGTGGGGGCTCTGTTAACTGTCTAAGGTACCCCTTCTTCCTGATTCACTTAGGGAGATAACCTGAGAGGTCTGCAAACCTGTTTGATATGGCGAGATTTGGCCAGGGAATCCATTTATTGCCCGCCTTCCTATGATGCCATTCTAACACAATGACATTTTTAATCCCTGGTATGTGTCAGACCAGATCCCATATCCAACAGCACTTAAGACTTAGATCATTTTCTTCCCCTGGCCTTAAAGGGGAAGTTTTAGACTGTTAGAATTGTCGCAATGCTGTCAGGCCCTTCCTGCACTTTCATCAATGGTTTCTGGGTCTGAGACACAGCTCGGTTCTGGAAATAAATACAAGATCCTGATTTTCAATGAGCTTTCTGCTCACTTAGCCAGAGTAGGAGCTGGGAACAGAGTGCTGACAGACCTCATAGCTGTGCCTATATGTGGCCCCTGGTCTCTGGCCATACAGAGGCCTGTTAGCCTTTGCCACAGATCTGGAAGGTGAATCCCCTTACTCCCTTTGGGCTTTACTGCCCATTTTGACAGCTGATTGCCACAACCTGATCTGGTCTCTATTCTGTAGGTTTTTTTTTAAATTAAGGTATCATTGATATACTTTTATGAAGGTTTCACATGAAAAACATTGTGGTTACATTCACCCATACTATCAAGTCCCCCATGCACCCCATTGAAGTCACTGTCCATCAGTGTAGTAAGATGTCCTGGAATCCTTTTATCCCTACTTCCTCCTATGGCCAATCCTGGCTGATAGCTTCTCAAGATAAAACTGGGCACCTGGGCATGTTGCTTGTCAATTTAGCAAAGACTTATAATGGGCTCTTCCTGGGAATATTTTTAGCTGGCCTTTTTTTCAACTTACATACTCAATGTTTCCAAGCATGCCCCTCTTAAGTCCTCAACACCCAGCAACACTGTCCTGTAGGTCATGTGTCTCCAAACCTCAGGGGTCATCTCCTGTTGATTAGGTGGACTTATAAGCATTTTGCTCATAATTTAAAATCCTGAGTCACAAGAGATCCCGTATCATTTGTTCTTTACCCAACCTTATGGTCCAGCATCTTCAAAATACCCATGTGTGCTCTGGGTCCCATCCATATGAATCAGACCTTGTAGCTTATTTGGTATATATCCTTCTGTAGTGAAATCTCTTGTCATGCTTGGTCCTGATACTTGTTTTCTCATACAGTAAAAGGCTAAATAGTTTAGGTTTTGTAGGGTAAGGCAAATTGATAAATTTTCACTTTTTTTGACAAATTCTGGGTAGTTTTAATTGGGGTTCCTTGCCATCAAACTGATTTATCTGTAAAAATCATTCTGAGCTTGTGGGCCATGCAAAAACAGAACAGGCTGGATTTGCCTTACTGGCAATGTTTGCAAGCTCATTCTGGAACATCAAGACTTGGTGCAGACTTTGATGGAGCAGACATCTTACAAATCTCTCAGGTGAGGGTTTTCTAGTAGGAGGGAGGGAACCATTAATGCCAGCCAACTTCAGGGTCACCTTGGAAGCTTGTTATCTAGTACATTCCTCTGAATTCCCATCTTAGGTTCTAAGAACCCAGTCCTTATCGAGAGCCTACACTTAAGATTTACAGGAGGTTAAGGTACCCAAAAACTTGACTGCCCTCCCCAACCTTAGTTTTTCTTAAAACTCAGATGTTCTATCTGGATTTTAGTTTTCCTCCCAACCCTGAGGGCCTCTGCTCCCCCGTGGCAGGCTGTTGCCTGAAACTTGGAGCTGCTGTAGGCCCAATGGGCTGAGCAAAAATCCCATTAACATGTCTAAGACAAAGTGCATGTTATCTGCCTCTCCAGAATTCTCATGCTGTCTAGGCTTCTCAGTGTATTTTCCTAGATGTGTTCCATTTCCAGGATAGTGCCACTGCCTTCAAAGCCCATCACATACACAGAACACCAGTAGGAAAGACAGCTGATAAGGTGGGCCTATGAAGCAAAATGAGGCCAAGAAAGGCCATTATCAGATATACATGTTTATAAAACTCAAAAAGTATGAAAAAAAATTCAAAACAGCACATTTTACATAACAAAACTGAACAAATTATGACTAATTACCTCAGTGTGTGGCATCCAAAACTAAGGCTTTCTAGCTTTGAACACGAATGTGACTCCACCATAAAGTGAGCAGCACAGTATGGCAGACAGCTGGTGAACAGAGCATGCAAAGTGCAGAAGGCTGGCAGTGTGCCTTTTGATTTTCCAGCATGTGCTCCTAGCCACCATTTCCACGTTCACATATTTAACATTTTTTTAAATCTTTCCATTTAGCTTTGGTGTAAGAATGTAAGGGAAACCAGATTTCATGTGTTCAATTTGAAATTCACACTGAGATACAGCATAAAGATAAACTCTCTTCAACCACCCCAGTCATTTTGCTGTTTTGGTGAGTAGATAGTCTGTGCCAGTCATTGTGGAAAAATCTTTATTTTAAGAAAAAAATTTAGTTAACAAAAATTTAACAAGTTTCACTTAGCAAAATACACCCCAAAGGAAATCACAGTACAAAGAAAGTTTTAAGTCAAGGCCTCACCAATTCCTACAGTATTAGTAATGTGTCTCAATTTTCAAAACTAACTTTTAAAAAGCTTAAACTTAACCTAAAAAACTTTAAATGAAAATAAACTAGAATGAACATGAGAAATGCTCCTCTTTGAATTTAGGGATCTAGCACCTTGAGTTTTCCAAAAAAACATGTCTCCCCAATGTGTTCACGGTGATGCGGTGTAAAAGATCCACAATTAATGTACTTAAAATTACTTAACTCAGATAACATCACTCTGAAGTACACTACCAAAATGTTAATTGAGAAAAGCTGAAAATAGTTTTAGTTTACTCAGTATCACATGCTAGAAGAAAGTTTGCATGAGAAAACACTGAAGAGGTAATTTTTTTAATCCAGATTTCACAAACTCACGGTGCAAAAATGGGTCCCACAGCTTCCTCTAAATAACTGCTTTTCACTGCTTGTCGGCTGCCTGTGAAAATGATTGAAATAATTCAAATGCTCCTACAAACTAGTCATATCCACCCATGCTGTTCTGGCCACTGTAACCAGCCCCGTAACAGCCACTCACGGACTGGCTCTCAAGGCCACTGTAAGTGGACTGGGCTGACACTCCCAAGCCTTGCATCATCTGGCTGCTATACGCCCCATTGCTGGCCCCTGTTGTGGAATTCAGGAAAAGTTCTATGTATCTGTGCTGCATGTTGGCCCTGTCTTTGGACATAGCTGCCACAGCTTCTTCATGGGTGGCAAACTCAACATCAGCCTCGCCGGTCACTCTTCCATCAGGGCCAATCTCAATGTGGACTCTCACAGGGTTGAGTGGAGAGAAGAAGTTGTAAATGTCGTTTTCCGTGGCTTTGTAGGGCAGGCCCCTCATGTGGACACAGTGCCCAGTGGTGCTCTGGACAGTGAACTCACCATCTCCGTATCTATGGTCATACACCCCAGAGAGACAGTAACTGAGGTCTCTCCCAAACAGGTCGGTGGTGAAGCCGTAGCCATCGCTGAGGCCACTGTACTCCTCATAGCCCCCATAGCCTGCACTGTAAGTGCCAGGCCTCATTCTCTCCAGGCCTGCTTGCTTGACAATGCCAACGTACCTCCTGGCTGTGCCAGGGCGGTCATAGGGCCCAGGCCGCTGTACAGACATGAACTTCAGAGGGGGATCCGAGTATGACCTAACTTCTTCCTGACTACTCTTGAACACCTCAATGTACCTATGCCCTATTCGCTCCTTGTGCTTCCCCAGGGCCTTCTCAGCTAACTCCTGCGAGGCAAACTGCACAAAAGCTTCCCCTGTGATCTTGCCCTCGGGGTCCACAGGCAGTGTGATCCCGTTTGGCACAATTTCCAACCCTGAGAAGAACTGAACAATTTCTTCCTTGGTGCATCCAAACGGGAGTCCTCGAAGCCGCACGAAGCCATCATTGGCAGTGTCAGCACTGTTTGGACCACTGTGCTTCAACACCCAATCCATCTCGGTTCTGTGGGACTTGAACACCTCAATGTACCGGTGTCCCATGCTCTCCCTGTCTTTTTTAAGGGCCATTTTCACATCATCTTCAGATTCAAGTTCAACAAACGCCTCACCACTCTGCCTGCCCTCTCTAGTGTAGATGAAGTGAACACCTGCGGCCCCATCATGAACTGTGCAGTCAGAGAGGAAATTCTGCACATCTTCAATAGAGCAGGACCAGGGCAGGCCACGGAGCTTGACCACAAAGCCTTCACCTCCCTCAGGGCCCAGCATTGTGGACACTTGGCAGGGCAGTCGTCAAAGAAGCTTAGGCAGTTTTTTGTGGCTGAAAAGAAAGCACAAACTACTTTATGTAATTTTTCATTTATCGTGAACACAGATAAGCAGTAAATATTGTTTTTCCGATTTTACAGATGAGGTAAAATAAATGATACCAAGTGAAATACATTAAACATACCAAACGTTTGAGCTAAGTTTCAATCCTAGGTCTCTCCAAAAATGTACCTATTATAGATCGAAAAAGAACTAAAAAATAGGGGTCTTAAAAAATTAAGTGAAATAGAATGAAGGGTAAAATTTTGAAGAAAAAAATAGTATCTGGAAGCTTTAATCAAGAAGCCACAATCTAAGTCCTAGTGATCAACTTTAAGTTCTGGAAGGGAAGCGGAGAATTGAGGCAACAATCAGATAAAGTTAAGAAAAATTCTCAGAACTGGAGAGAAACAGATGATATAAAACTGCATCACCTACGTAAATGATGGGAGTTAAGTGTAACTTGGTATCTCTTAACACAAAGGAACCTGAGTATTGGTCAGGTTAGGCAAAGGTAGTTTCTTGTAATAGTCCAAGTATGTGTCATGGAAGTTTGATGTTTAGTTACAAGAGCTCCTTTGTTGAGAATTTTCTTGAACTGCAAGCCTTACATTTAACCAGTTTCCTTGTTTGTGGCAGGATACTTAGGTAAAAATAAGTGATGAACAGATTACTTTAAACCACAATACAGAGTAACATTTTCTTTGACACTGGAGTGAAATAGAACCATGTTCTCATTAGCAACAATGCTGCAATAAGACAGCAATGGGTTCAGTCTAAGGAAGTATACTTTTGTCCCTAAATTGTCAATTCAAACAAAATGAGTCAAGTGTGAGGCCAAACTAAAGACTTATCTAGATAAGCAGGTACCTCCATCAACAGAAAATGTTATTTATATGCTCTGCAAATAAGTAAGGCTCCCCAGGTTCACATATAAAAAGATTAGCAAAAGACACATTTACTGCTGTGCTTTGTTGAAGGTTTGGAAGGGAGGGAATGAACACCATGTACAAGAGGGGTGCCCTTCCTGACAGGCTGTCTTGAAGGCATGTTATCTGGCACCTAACACAAACTTAATGAAAGATTCAAATCCACATGGAACGGCAGTCCTCTGAACAGGAGTTGAGCCATCAAAAAGCAACAGAGACAATAAAAATATTGAGTATAGAGCTAAACATTTATTTTTCTAAAATCTCAGTTTAAAAAAACAAAACATGCAAAGATAACTTAAGGAAAAGCAAATTAGTAATAAATACCATCTATGAAATGCTTAACTGCACTAGTATCAGGGAAAACCTAATTATTGACAAGTCACCATTATGACCCATCATAATAATCTTTTAGTAACTATAGTAATTTAAACATTTGATGCAGTGCCTAGTTAATTTAAACTATATGCAGGCCTAGTTAATTTACACTGCCAGGTGTGAAAGGATAATTCTGTATTAACTTCAGTCCTTACCCCACCAATAGTGGAATTTGCATGCACTTCCTCCTATATTGTTATGCATCCAGTGAACAGTGCCCAGAAGACTAGTAACTGCCTGTGCCACAGCTGTACTGGGTGGCTTAGTGGCACAGCTGAACAACATGGTTCATTTTGGACCAAGGCACTGGAGAGGTGGCAGGAGAAGCCTGTATGCTGTAGGACACTGGGGAGCGCCCTGCCTCTAACCACTAGCTGCTGTAGCACCCTGTAGTCCCCCAGTTGTGACAACCAGAAATAGTCTGCAGACATTGCTAAATGTTCCTTGAGGGGTAAATAACTACTATAGAGAATCCGGGCCACCAGCCTTAACATGGGCCCTTAATACTGCTTACTAGATTCTACTCCAACTCCCTGCAATGTCTCTGGTAACCTCACATCTTCTCACATCCCCTCCCCTCCAGCTCATCCATCATCATCTACTTCAGAGAGTGATAGGAACCATGTTAAGGAAATGGCCACAGTAAATGAATTTATAAACAAGGAGTTGCTGCTTATAGCTGAGATATTTATCCACAGCTCTGCTGTGGTCCCAACTCCACCCATCCTTAAGAAATTCCTTATTTTCACTGAACATTATCTCCTTAGCAATTAATCATGCACTTTTAACCAATCCCATGAGATACGCCTTCCCTGATGCCAACCTTGCCTCTAGTTACTTATTTGCTCTCTCAGTAAAATGTCTAAAGGCAGGCCTCTGTCACCTCCACCCCCGACCAGTTACAAGGCAAGATAGAGAACAAGTATTTTATCTTCATCCTAACTTGTTCCCATTCCCTCTGGAAATCCTTTTATTCCTGGGCTTCTAAGATGCAACCATCTCCTCGTTTTCCCTTGTCCTTCCTTAGATCCTCTCAGCCTCTTCCTTTGAGTCCTTCCTCAATATTCAACTACATACAGGAAATCTGCTGGGTTGAGCCCAGGACAGCCAAGTCCCCAGCTTCACACTCCAAGGTCCAGGCTGATGATGTACACAGCTCTACTCCACAGTTCTTCCTATGTATCACAAATGAACATAGTATTTTTCTCTCCAACTCCTTTATGGCATCCCAGCTGCAGCATAAATGGCTGGTCATCAGAGGCTCTTGAAGGAAACTAATTCTTAAACAACTAATAAGCCTTCAAAACCAATGAACTCATCCCTATGGGGTGAGTCCCACACTCAGTAATTCTTTAACAAGAAAGGTTTTTCCACAGCTCTGTATTCAATACCTAGCAATCTGCATGGCACAGTAAGAACTAAGTATCTCCCCTCTTTTGTAATGTGCATCACCAAAATGTCACTTTTTCTCCTGAAATGCCCCCCATGTCCCTTTCTACCATTTTCTTCAAATTCAGTACTAAGATCCCCTTCCAGTATACTCATATGGTCCTTAAGCTTGCCCAAGCAATAATGGCTAGCTAAAGTGTTCTCTTAGTGACTTTTTTATCACTCTCCTCTTCCAAGTCCTGGGTGGCGTCCACAAACATGAACCACAGGACTAAGGGGGATGGCTCAAGCCTTGCAACTCTAGCCTGCAAAACACTATCTAGCTCCCATCACTTACATTTCAAAAAGTCTCCTCTATCCATTCCTCTGTGCCTGGAATGTGCCACTCTCTGCTCCCTTTGGACTTGACATTTGTGATAATTCTCTCTCCAAATAGTCACTACCCAATCTACTCTCTATTTAAATCCTATAATCCCTTAAAGGCTTCAGTTCAAATACACCACCTTCCCATAGGATATTCCTATTCTACAAATTAATTCTTATATTTGTACACTCCCATAGCATGCTTGCTATTTTTTAAAAAAAGTGTCTTTAAACCTGCATCAAGAGCAGGTTACCATAAACTGGCTGTTGGGCGGTTCATTGTGGCCCCACCCCCAGCAGAGGCCCAAGCACAGCTGGCCCAAGATTAGCAAGAGATTAATGGCCATGTGGGGTCAACACCTCCCTCTAGAATATGGCAGCCTAGCTTGGCTGAAGGACATTGCAGGGAGCACAAAACAGACATTGCTTATAAGAATTACTTAAAATGCCTAATAATACACATTACAAATGTTTTATTTCAGAAAACAAAGTTTCAAAAAAAAATGACTTCTTTTAACAGAGCATTCATTCTCTCCCAAAACATGTCCACATTTAAACATTTATGGCTGATTTTTGTTTCAGAATTATTTTTCTCGTTCTTTCATGAAAAGTCATCTACAACTTTTAATTTCTCATTCTTCTAAACATTTAATGGAACTCAAACCTAATTTTTGGTGCTGACATAACACAACACATCCTCAATTTTGCCCTCAAAATCCTCTACATTTGGATTCTTTACAGATTTACAGAACTAAAAAAAAGGCGGGGGGGCTACGGAGCTCTGCTCAGCGTTAAATTTAAAGCAGGTGACAAAACTTTTACTTCACTCTAAGAAAACATTCTGCTTGAATGAAATAAATCAAATATCAACTGAGGAATTAGTTTTTCTTACAACAGCTCACCTTAAAGCACAAGGACGCCTACAGCTGGAGACACTCCTGGTAGATAATGAATTGTCCTAAAATGAAAAGAAAAGAAAAATGACAGGGCTGTCTTTCCTCAGTGTCCCAGCACTTACCAGTGATTAAAGGTGGAGGTTCCAGGGGCTGGAATGGGCTGAGCGACTTTTCTCGGAAAGGCAGGGCTACTCACCCACAGGGACTGTCAAAATTAAAGCACTCACTGGGCCATTCCACAGCACTTTAAAAGACTTACCCTTTCATTGGGTAATACAGACAACAGGAGGCAAACACTCCACTAGCCTCCATGAGCCTTACTTCCTCAATCCCCAACCTTCTACATTGAAAACTAAGCACATTTAAGCAAAATGTAAGTGTCAACAGCGGTTGGGCTCTGCCGGGAGTGGGGTTGGGGCCAGGCCAGAGCAGGAAGGGAAGGGGCTTGGGGCAGCTGCACCCAAAGACATAGGAGACCAGAGACGAGCGAGTTATCTTTTCGCTGGGATGGGCTCCAGCAAGAGGTTATTTGCTAGAAATAGTCTGACAGGATTTATAATTCGTAAGAATCCCCGGAAAGCAGGGTGGAGACACTCAACTTTCCCAATTTTATTTGGTAATTATGTCCTAGTGAGCTGTATTTGATCTTACACTGATTTTCTAATTAATTAAGAAACAGGGGAGGAAATGTTTAAACAAACTTTTCAATAGGAAAAACATCACTACCACCCACAGCCAAATGAAAAAGTCCTTAAAGGATCAGGGTTACGTAAAGTCCAAGGAGTAGTGGAGAGCTAAGCCACCTCTTTGTTTGTAAACGCAGAACTCGGTAAATAAGTCAGTGTGGCAGAGCCTGTTGTCTTAAAAATAGCCTGTTCTCTGACCCGAGCCAGATAAGATTCTATGGAGGGAAAGCCCGGTGTAAACGTAAATAAGTACTTTAAGAAATAGTAAGTTTCAACTTCTCTGGAAAACGGTTTTCAAGAGGCCTCAACCGTTCGTCCCCATGCCCCACCAAAAAGTTAAATCTACAGGGCAAACCCAGCCTCTCAGCGACTCGACAGGACCATACAGGGACCTTGTTAAAATGCAAGTTCTAAAACGACAGACCAGGACCGGGCCGAGATTCTAACAGGCTCCCCCAGCGTGTACTCATTTCCTCTATGGGTTAGACCAAACCAGGCGCGACGCTCCGAACCGCACCTCGCGTTCGGGTCGTTAATCGCTGAGCTTTCCCGCCGTACCGCGCGGCTGCCTTTCCTGACGCACTTACCGCCGGCGGAGCAGGACTGGCTTCCGGCCTCGCCGAGCAAGCGCGGCCTACAAGCCCTCGACTCCGCCGCCTGTCCGCACGCACCTGCTTTTGTTACCGCCCTGAAATGAGAGCTCAGCTAGCTGCGGGCAAAAGCTACAGACGGGCGTCACAGCGCGGCCGTCAGGGGCACATTCGGGAGCTTACCGGGTAAGCCCCAGGGGCTCGGGCACCCGCCTAGGCCAAGGGGTCCGCTCAGCCTCCACCGGGCGACCGGGAGCCTCAGGCAGGCCTAGCCTGACGGGAAGGCCTGACCGCGGCGCCCCAGCTCAGACCGGGGCGGGGTCTACGAGAACTTCCGGGGCGGAGCGGACGGCGCGGGGCGCGGGGGAGGGGCAGATTCTCGGCGAAGGCGTCCGGGTTGCAGCTCCGGGCCCGGGGTTTCCCGGGGCGGCCGGGGGGCTGAGGTGGACGGAGTTCTCGGGCAGGCCTCCCGGCGCCGCGGAGGCAGTGGGCCGAGTTCTGGAGTTGGGAAGCCCCTTGGGGCAGCCGGGTGCCGAGTTCCCGGGACCAGCGGGGTCGGAGCTGCCGGGCCGAGCCGGGGAAATTTCCCGAGGCAGTGGGCAGTGTTCCCGCTACGGAGGCAGGTGGCAGAGTTCCCGGGACGGGAGCGGGAAAAAGAGTTCCTGGGGCGGGAAGGAGAGGGTGGAAAGTTCCCGGGCGGGAGGACAAATGAGGCAAAAAAGTTTTCGGGGCGGGACAGAGTGCGGGAGGTAGAGAGGGCCCTCGGGACGGGTGCGGGCGGGGGTCGCCCACTCCCGGCGGCTCACCACGACGTCTGGAGTCCGCAAGGCTGGCGCAAGGGGCTGCGTCCAAAGGCACAGGCCGCGTGACTGGGAGGGCGGCGGGCCGGACGTGGGTCACGGGGTGTAAAGGAGGAAGTGCCACCGGCGGGCCCGCCAAGATGTCACCAATGGAAACGCGCCCTGCAGGTGCGGCCGCGGCCGCGGCAGGAAGTGGAGGAGGGGCGGCAGGAGTCCGCGGGGCGGGGCACCACGAGAGTGACCGACTCGTTTCCCAGCGCAGGACGACGTTTAAGGTGGAGCCGCTTTGTACGCACAGTACCTCGATTTTCCACATTTGACGAGAGACTCACGTTATTTTCCATGATTTAAGAGATTAACTTTAAAACACGCAATTCTTAAACTTTATATTGAACAAGCAATTACATTCTCTACTTCTGTGCATGTTTAACACTTTTAGTAATACATTTTTTAGAAAGAAAAAGCCTTTGAATCTCATTAGAAATAAATCGGCATACTATAAAATAAGGGAAGTGGAGCGCACTAGGTGAAAATAGGGTAATGCAGTCTGCCCAAAACCAGACTGTGGGTAACTAACTCTACAAGAACAAGAGTGCCAAGGGAAAACACCAAGGGGTGGCACTTAACAAGTAAAAGAACTTTAAGAGATTTATCAAGGAGCGACACAAACGGGACAAATTTAAACCTTGAGTGAAACAAACTCCTAAACATTTAAGAGCTAATTTATAAGATATTTTAACACTGACTAGATAATTTAAAGTATTATACATATGATAGAATTTAGTTATGTTTAAAAATAGATTAAATTTTAGGGATTTAAAAATATGGATGAATTAGTGTATTGACTGGGATTTGCTTCAAAATTATGAGGGAGGTAGGTGAGAAAAACATATTAGTGATTGTCAAAGCTAAGTGAAAATTCAGAATCTAGCCACCCCATGGAAATATTCTCAAGAAATGGACTCTAAAAACTCATACATCCCAAAGAAGTAAAACAATATTCTGAAGAAAAACCAAGCCACAAAACTGGCTGTTTTGGGAAAGAGTATCTCTACAGAAATGCTTCACAACCATTAATTTCTCTTAAAATCCTATTCAAATATATTACTGGTAAATCTATTAAGTGACTGCCATGTATTTTCTCACTTATTTGAATGTATCTGCTGCAGTTAAGAGTTTTATATCTGCTTTCTTGGCTAAACTGGTTGGTGATGCTGGTGAAGTCAATGTTAATTGATCAGTCATGATATCCTACTGAAGGAACAACATATACATAAGACACACGGAAACCTGTTGTGCTGAAACAGAAAGGCTGAGATCCATGAAAAAGGGAAACAAAGGAAGATCCTCCATAGCCTAGAGGGCCTGGTTGGGTGTTTTGGACTTTATCCTAAGGCCAATGAGAAGTTGTTTCAAAATGGAATGTGGTACAATTTGAGTTTTTGAGTTTTTGCTGATACTGGGAAACTGAATGGGGGAACAGGTCAGGGAGATGGGGCAAGAAGGAATGAGACAAGTTTAGGAAGTACTGATTGCTCCCCGCAATAGAAACACTGTGGTGGAAACTGAACCATGTGAAAGGATTTAAGTGATGTGCAGTAGCTAAAATTCACCAAACTTTTGGAGAGTCATCCATTAACTCAGAAATGTGCACTTTAAGATGCAGGCACTATGCTATGTCCACATTCCACTTAACAGTGGCCTAGATAATCAATAAAGAAATTAATCAATGCATGGTGACAAACTGAAGTGACCAAAAACTAGAAAACAGAGATTAACTTACATTGGGGTTCTGAGGCAGTGACATTAAAACGGACCAGAAGCATGAGCCGGACTGAGAACATAAAACTTTACCCCCTGGCAAATGCCTAAGGTTTTAGAGTAGAAGTTAGAAATCATATTATTTTCTCCCTTGTACATTACTTATTTCCCTTGGGATGCTTCTTCAAATTATTTTTGAAATGTAACCCTGTGTCAGAGTATGTTTTGGTGTTGGTTGTTGTGTATAAGTATTTTTATTTTATGGAAAATCTTTTTTATATTTTCTTATTAAATTCACAAAGACAGTATTATGTATCATTTCTGCTGCTCATGTTTATTTCCCACTTGAGGAGCATGCATGGGGCTGGAGATGAAGCACTTCTGTTACAGGGGACTGCATCTGAGCAGAGCCCAGACCCCTATGTGTAACAAATATCTTCCTGTTGTACTGGAAGTTACAGTGGAAACCTCAAAAGTCTCTTCCAACCCAACAACTTTATAAAGTCCAAATTTAGTGGCTCTTAAACATTTCCTGCTGTTAAGGACTCACTTGAGAATACCTAGCAGATCTGGATCAACTTCCAAAAAAAACCATACATCACACACTCACAATTTTAACTAAATTTTCAAAAGGGCACATGCATAAAGAGAACTCTGAATTTTATTTGCACAACTGCCAAGTTCAAAACACAAAGCTACCTAAGAGCTATTATGGAGAAAGAAGCTGCATGTGAACCATTAAATATATTAACATTTTAAATGTTTACTGGTAACTACATTTTTTACCCATCAAAGGGAGTATATGTATGTATGACCTGTAAGCCACAGGACAGTGGTTTTCCATCATTTTTTAACTTTAAGCTCTCTTTAGTTTAATTTCTGTAGCTAAGCCTGGAGCAATAACATACTGTTTTCCTCAGTGTTCATTTATCAAAAGCTGTGTTAACTAAAAGGCAAAAACAGTATAATGGGATGTTAGATAAATTTTATCTATAATGATTAAGGAAATTAACAAATTTCTACCCAACACAAAACAAGGATCCATTGCTCCGACGTTATTGATTGCATTTTGCAGATGACTCAAGAATTAAGGTGAAATTACAACAGAGGGAAAAAAAATCAGGCTAGGTTTTCATAAAAAGAAACAACTATTAGCCCTCCATTGCTAAAGATAAAATCTGTTCTCCTCAATTGAGGGCAAAATTTTGTCATCTGTATTAATTGGTAGTGCCTTCCCCATAGAAGGAAATATGATTCTAGCCTAGCTAAGAAATGGGGACAGGGGCCCACAAGGGGATGGGAGATATGATTCTGCCTGAAAAAAATACAACTGTGGAGAAAAGATGGTCTCTTTTGGCCCTCCTGTAGCTCTCTTCCCTGAGTAAGCAGCCCCTGAGGGGCAGAGCAGTTTCAGATCATTTAAGAGCTGGATCCTAGGAGTTGGATGAAGGCCTTCGGGGAAACCTTCGCAGTACCAGCCCACAGCCCCCTCAGGGCCTTGAGCCTCCAGCTGGGGCTGTGTGTGGGGAGCTGACACCTGGTCAGGTCCCAGGCGTTTACCAATAGCAGGGAGGCTCTAGCTCTCCGAGCTCAACCGTCAGTGCCACGGGACTTCAGCACACTCTGGGGAAGTGGAGCAAGAGAAGGAAAAGAGGACAAAACACTGGAGGGTACCAGCATGCAGCGAGAACACCACACATCAGACAACAGCTTAGAAGAAGCAGAGTTTTCAGGGGACAAGTTAAATAGTGCTGGACAAAGCTGTAAATGCTTTAACAGAAAAAATGAGCACTTTGAGATACTCAACAAAAATCATTCTGGTACTAAAAACTGAGTTTTGTATTTATAAAATTAGTAATGAATTGAAAGAAAAGGGGAGTGGCCTGGAAAACCAAGAGGAAGAAATATCTCAAAGAGAGAAAAAAAGAGCAATAGGGGAAAAAGATGAAATTGGGAGGGCACGATGTAACATGAGGCTGGAGAAATAACAGGTGAGTAACAGAAATTCCAGGAGGAAAAGACGGAAATAGTGGCAAGAGAACAGATACAGAAAGGAAGTAAATTTCCTGGCTTAGATAAAACTCAGTTATGTAGTTCCTAACAGGTATTTTTACAAGGTACAACCCAGACACGTATTGGCAAAACTCCTAAACTTAAAATATAGAGAAAAACTGCTTTGGAAAAAGAACAAATTAGGTACAAAGGACAAAAATACAACAGCCACTAGCCACATGGCTACTGAGCACTCGAAATGTGGCAAGTATGAATTGAGATACGCTTATAAGTACAAAATACACACTGAACTACAAAGATTAAAACTGTAAAATTTCTTAATTTTAAAAAATTGATTACATGTTGAAATACTATTTTAGACGTACTGAGTTAGTCAAACTAAAATATACTATATTAAAATATCAAAAGAACATTTCCCAACTCATTCCACAAAGCGAGTATTACCCAGTGTTATGGGCTAAATTGTGTCCCTAAAATTCTTATTAGGTTTAAAGCCCCAACCTCCAGTACCTCGGAATGTTGCAGATCTGGAGACAGTCTTTGCAAAGGTTATTAAATTAAAATGGGGTCATCAGGGCAGGCCATTTTCCAATATGATGTCCAGTTGGAAATTTGGAGATAGACAAGCATAAAGAGAACTTGAAGACACAGAGAGAAGACCACGACCATCTACAAACAAAGGAGAGAGGTCTAGGACATATCCCTTCCTCACCAGCCTCAGATCCAATGCTGCTGACACCTTGATCTAGTATTTTTAGCCTCTGGGACTGAGACAATAAATTTCTGTTGTTTAAGCCACCCAGTCTATAGTACTTTGTTATGGCAGCCCCACCAAACTAATACATGCTTATACCAAAACCAGACAGACGTCACAAGAAAAGGTAACTACATACTACATCCCTTATGAATACAGATATAAAATTCCTCAACAAAACACTAACAAACTGGATCCAGCAACATATAGAAATGATTATATACCAAGGCGAAGTGGTATTTATCCCAAGAATGCTTAAGGTTGTTTCAACATAAAAATATGTTCCAGAATTAGTGGTAACAGTTTTTTACAACTTGGTAAATATACTAAAAACACCTGCATGGTAAACTTTAAAAGGGTGAAGTATATATGAATGAAAAAAATTATATTCATTCATATCACAATTATATCAGACAGCACTATTCTAATCAAATATGTAAAGCAGAACAGAAAC